AGCTTAAGGAAAAGTCATACACTCCATTTCAATATAGCACGACTCAAAACCTTCTACTTGTTGAATAATATATGACTGTGGAATATGGATCTGTAGCGTGAAGGGTGTCAAAAAATTTGAACAATTTGACATTTATTCACTTATTTGAAAATAATAATAATAAAGAGTGTGGAGAAGTATGTGAATTTAGTGAATGATGATGTCATTTGGTGCATCCCAAAAATATATGATAACTGGAAGTTTATACATGTTATTGACCTACAAATGTCACCATTTCCAAGCTAATGGTATTTGACTAAATAGGAATTGATCACTCGAGAAATGGTGTTTGTACAATCTTTAGATGAAAAAAAAATTCAAATACATTAATTGTTAGGATAAGATCACCTTTGATCTTATTCTTCAACTAATGAAGACCAAGTCTTTAGGAAGAGTTTGTTAATATCTTGTATCTGTATAGTTTAGTTAAGATAGTTTGTTTGTTCTCCATATAGTATTGTTACGATAGTATTAGTATTAGTTTGTTTGTTCTCCATATTAGTATCTGTATAGTCTTAGTATCTGTAACAATACTATATGGAGAACAAACAAACTATCTTAACCAAACTATACAGATACAAGATATTAACAAACTCTTCTTAAAGACTTGGTCTTCATTAGTTGAAGAATAAGATCAAAGGTGATCTTATCCTAACATTAATTGGTGTCCATTGTCATGCAATGACATAAAAAAATTGTGAGAAGTGTACGAGTAAAGTTATCATTATTTTCTATCTACCCTGCACTAAGAAATTGGAGTTGAAGCCAATTGAAACTTATCGTCAAAAGAAGCAGATGCATGAGTTCATCACTATATGGCAGTCTCGGTACTTTCCTGCCCCAAAATTTATCACTTAATTTAACTCTTCCCGGTTTCCTCTGAATATCCTGTAAAGCAATCTGGAAATGTCAGAGGTTTTTTTTTTTCTTCTACATGTAGATAAGATGAAAAAAAAACACAAACACACACACTTCAATGTTAAGTTACTATGATACCAACTAGGACGTAGAGGGAGTATAAAAAAGAAGATACCATTATTGTTTGGATCGTTAGTAAAGAATTAATTCAATTCAAAAGTTTAAGTTAATAGATAAATTTTTTTTAATAATTTATATTATTCTCTAACATTTTTTCTCACATGAAAATTCAGTAGACTTAAAAGGTGAACAATGCACAGACCCACCTATATGTGCTAAGAAAATTTCACAAGAAAAAATTGAAAACAACAAAAATCGAACTCGAGACATCAAAACTCTCAAACCATGTAAAGTCTTCGTGATATGTCACATCTTATTATACTTATGAGGGATACTTCAATGTTAGATGTCTTTCCCTCTTGTGATTATTATTAATGGAAATTTCTGTTATAATTACGGTACGTGCATTAAATTGCATCACTTATCCAACCACTAAGTATTTATTCCCCATAAGTCGAATGTTGAATTATGCAGATATTATATTAAGTTATTCTAAATTCTATGATCCAAGTTTTTTTATTTAAATTTTTGGTACCTAAAGAGAAAACCAGCATAAAATGTGTTGGAAAGAGAATATTTTATTGAAAACAAGTTAATAATCCATTATATGCTAAAACAAATTATACAAGTGAGGAAGTGCATAGAGACAAGTCTGATTCCAGTCAAAGAGGAAAAAAGAAAAACCTCTCAGGTGATATTTATAAGCCTGCAATGAAGCAGCACACAGTCAGCCTGCAAATACTTAACAAATAACAAATATGGAAAGAGATGAGCTCAAATGAAATGTAATTCGGGAAATTTTTGGGGTTAATGAATGAAAGGCTCAGTTAGGTGTGTCAAAATAAAGGAGAAGAGCATGTGTTTTGGGGCAGAGGAGCAGAGTGTGAACAGTTTTAACCTCAGAGTGCACTTTCCTGACACCTCCTGCCAACTAGCTAGAGGGAAAGACAAGTGCTTTCAATTGCAACAAACAACTCCGAACCTCCCTCTACCCGATAGTCTTTAACTTGCACTGTCCAAAGTAAACTTTTAAAGGTTAAAAATAATATAATCTTCAAGAGATAGATAGAGAAAATAAATTAAAAAAAAAAGTCCTTTCGCTTCCTGTCATTTTCATATTTATTTTTTTGAATAAAGTGTGTGTCATTTTAAAGGATGTAAAATTGTGTCATTTTAAGAGATAGATAAAGAATGAAAGAGATGACAAAAAAATAAAAGTATGGTCGCACTTCTTTGTAAAAGTAAAATAATATATATTATATCATTTAAAATAATAAATATTTTTCCCTTAATTTTTACAGTAATAGAAAAAATTGTCAACCAACTCAAACTTTCATGTGATTAGTTACCACAAAGTTGGGAGTTTGAAGTTAAACCTACAAAAAAAAATCATTGCACTTAATCATCATTTCATGAGGTTTGTTAGTTATTAGTTAAACCTAACAAAAAAAAACCAAAAAGTTATAATGTATAAAGAAAGAATTAAATATCTCTCGTGTCATAAGAGATAATTTATCTTCTATATATAGAGAAAAATAGAGTTTTATAAAAGTTATCTTGTAGGAAAAGTGATTGTGTAATATTATAGAGATTCGTTTTGCGTGCCGTAATTTTCTTTTTTTCTTTTTTCTTCAAAAAATGTGGGCCCCACAAAATGTTGTGTGTATAAGAAAGTTTGTTGTGTCATGTTAAATGATAAATGCAAACCCCATAAAAATATAAGGTACTTATATTTTCTTTTTTTCTCCTTCTCTTTATATAACTCCACATGAGTCCACACATTTTTATATATGTAAGAAATAATTTATAATTTATAAATGAGATAAATCAAATTCATAAAAAAAAATCACTAATAAACAAATAAGTAAAGGGTTATGTTATACTGACACCTAGGGGTGTTAACGGGCCGAGCCGAGCCGAGCTTTGGTCTTAAAAGGCTAAGCCTATATTTAAATGTGTCAGCCTGGCTAAGCCTGTTACCTGTCACGAATATAATTTCAGCATGTGGCCTGTATTATTTACAAAAAATGAAAGCTTGCTTTAGCCTGTTTAAAAAGAAATAAGACAAAGACCCAATGGGTGCAGCTCAGTTGGTAACTTGGCGCTGAGTTAGTGGGGTTGGATATGTGTTCGATTCCCGTTGAATGCATTCTTGGGGAGGGGGCTGAACCTTTAGCCATCACTGTTCCCCCGCACTCCGGATTAGTCTCATAGCCGGCTCAAAGAGTCGAAGCTCGTGGGGATACCGGAGGGAGCCAACTCGTCTCAAAGAGATAATTAGAGTTGGGTAACTCCAAAAAAAAAAAAAAATAAGACAACAAAAATGTATTCAAACAAAATATACAATCAACAACACTAGTAATTCCATAAATATTCATAAATTTAATGTATATCTAAATAGCATAATATAAAATAAAATCATTCAAAAAGTCTGTTTAATTAATAAAATGGAATGAAATGGATTGAGGAGAGAGAGGGGGGTTATCACAAGTAGTACAAAAATATAAAAAATTAATATATTAGGCAAGCCTGAGAGGCTCTAAGGCCGAGCCTTTGAATTGGAGCCTTAAGCCTTTTTATTAAACGAGCTTTTATACAAGTCCAAGCCTGGGTCCAACAATCAATTTTAGACATGTAAGCTCAGGCCTTCAAGAGCCGAGCCAAAGGCTCCTGTAAGGCCCCTGGCTCGTTTAGCACCCCTACCGATAGCGACACATAACAAGACATGATACTTTGATACATTAATTTTAAAAAATATTAGATTTCGATATGTTAGAACATGTTTTGATATTAAATAATATATAATAATTTAACAAAAAATAAAAAAAAATTTATATAGCATATATTATATTTAAATAATATTTTAAATTTTAAATTTATATAGTGTATAAAAATAAACTTATAATACCTATCAATTTTGAAAAAAAAACAAAAAATATAAATATTTACTATTACATTTTTAAATTGAAAATTTCTTATACATTTTAGTAAAATTTATTAGTATTCATTTTTAAATTTTATCATATCAATTTGAAAAACATTGATTAATTTTTTTATTATATTCAAAATTTAATATTGGAGTGTATTAAAATATAGAAGCGAAAAATGTCGTACACGCAACTTCAAATTTTTTAAGTGCGGATGCAGCATAGTTAAAAGGTTATCATGACTGTACCCAAATGAAACTTTAGAGGCCAAATTGACTGTAGACCAATTTTTACTGACGAAAGTGAGGCACATAATAGGAGAAAATGTAAAAGGGAAAAGCATCAATCCGTACCCCAAAAAAAAAAAAAGAAGAAGCAGGTTTGAGTTCCAGCTATGGCCTCCGTATCTATCAATAAGATAATGCCACACATGCTTAAGCCAAAAAAAGATTAAAAATGACACGTACGAGACTTTTTCTCTTATTAAAAAGTTACCATACCCTCGGATTGCAAAAGAGATTGATATAGATATATAGGCATATATAGCCACTACTATTGCTGAGCAGCTTACACTTCACATAATCGTATGGGCACTATTTTCCATGACTGATGTGGAGACAGCAGAACCAAAGGTGCATGAACACTAACATGCATTTGAATTTATTTTTTCCTTCTTTCCTTTGTACATTTGTTTATGGATTTCTGTAAAGACGTCAGAGACAAGGGCAGCAACAAAGGCAGCTGCAGAGAAAAAAACAGAAGCAACAGAGGTGCAGTCATTATAAGAGCAGACTCACTCACTCACTCACTCATCCAGCACATAGAGAAATTGAGAGGAGGTGGCAGAAAGCCAGAAGCATCATCAGACTATCACAGCCATTAGTACTATCCATGCACAGGAGAAGAATCTGCCTCCTACCCATTAAAATTTATTTAAAACAAAACACACCCCTTAAAAAAAACCATCATCCCAACTAGAGAAAAACCCTTCTTTTTTTTGAGTCTTTGAAATCTTATATATTGTTCATCTTCATACTCTTTCTTTTGGCCATCAACATGATTAGTGCAAGTGCTAGAAATAGGTCTCCATTCACAGCAACTCAGTGGCAAGAACTTGAACAACAAGCTCTTGTTTTTAAATACATGGTAACAGGAACACCCATCCCACCAGATCTCATCTACTCTATTAAAAGAAGTCTAGACTCTTCAATATCTTCAAGACTCTTCCCACATCATCCAAGTAAGTTCTTTTTTTTTTTTTTTTGGAACAATCCAAGTAAGTGTTTTTAATTTGTTTTTCTTTTTAGAATACAGTATTGGTTATTATTTTATATATCTACTTTTTTATGAGGGACAAAATAAAATTTAGAGCCTGGTTTGTCATAACTCTCTCTGGCTGCAGTTGGGTGGGGATGTTTTGAAATGGGTTTTGGCAGAAAAGTAGACCCAGAACCTGGAAGGTGCAGAAGAACAGATGGCAAGAAATGGAGATGCTCAAAGGAAGCATATCCAGACTCCAAGTACTGTGAAAGACACATGCACAGAGGCAGAAACCGTTCAAGAAAGCCTGTGGAAGTTTCTTCAACAAGCAGCACCGCCACAAGCACCACACAAACAATCCCATCATATAACAGAAATCTTTCCTTGAGCAACACCAACATTCCTTCGGCATCTTCTTTTCCTTTCTCTCCATTGCCCTCATCTATGTCCTGTGACTCCCAACCCTTTTCACAATCTTACCAAAACTCTTCTCTAAACCCCTTCTTTTACACCCAATCAACCTCTTCTAGACCACCTGATTCTGATTTTCCACCTCAAGATGCCACTACTCATCAGCTACTTATGGACTCTGGGTCTTATTCTCAGGATGAAAAGGATTATAGGTATGTAGAAAACCAAACAAGAAAAAAAAAATGACTACTTTTTTCTTGTTTTGTTCTTTCTCTTAGTTGTTGTGTTCTACTTGATTATATTCTTGGTGGCAGGAACGTTCATGGAATAAGGGAGGGTGTGGATGAACGAGCTTTCTTCCCAGAAGCTTCAGGGTCTGCTAGGAATTATCCTGACTCATATCAACAACTATCAATGAGCTCTTATAAGTCCTATTCAAACTCCCAATTTCAGAACATCAATGATAACCCAAGACAGCAAGAGCAACATTGTTTTGTTTTGGGTACTGACTTCAAATCAACAAGACCAAGCAAAGAGAAAGAAACTACTGAGACAACCCAAAGACCCCTTCACCATTTCTTTGGGGAATGGCCACCAAAGAACACAGATTCCTGGCTAGATCTTGCTTCCAACTCCAGAATCCCAACCGGTGATGATCCTGCTTTCTTCTTATATATTATCATAAATTTTTTTCTTTCTTTTTTAATATTGCGCTTCTTGCTTACCTATAAATTACTTATACTTATTTAGTCTCCTTTATGCTTGGCAGATGAATGACGCTTTTGATTATGAGCTGGTGAATACGGCCAAGAGAGACTTATTGATAAAGATCAATGTTTTGTGGCTGGGGTGAATTTTCTTTTGCAAAAGGTGTGATGTTATTTGTGTTATGTAGGGGACCACTTAAGGATTTGTGTCTTTGCTTTTTTTCTTGATATTTATATGCTTCTTCCTTCTCCTTGAAGAAAAGTGAAAAAAAAAAAAAAAAAAAAAACATGTCTCAGATTTGCACACTTAGTTGTTTGACTGGAAAGCACATTATGTTGGCTATGCAGTCTGCTTTTTTTAATGGGTGGTAGCAAGTACAATTCAAATTAGCTCTGTTGCTTGTGCTTGTTCTGAACCTTTCTTATGTGCATGGACCCAGCACACAACATGTGCAATCAATATTTGCATATTACCACTATTAGGATTAGGAGGGAGGGACACTTTCGCCCCAACAAAATTCTATCTAACTACTTCAAATGACTAGAGTAGTGACTGGAGATTTAGCAGCATTTAAGGTTTCAAACTTTGCATCAATATTTCATTGTTCATTCATTTGGATATTTAGATTTTGCTTTGTTTCATAACCACCAACGTGGGTTTAAGCATTTTATCCTTAACAATCTAACCGCTATGTTCTATAATGTCTCTCGGTCAAATATACAATATAATCTAGATAGTGAAAACGTGTGGTCTTGGAATTCTTCAGAGTTCTTCAAAATTTCTATTCTAACAAAAGCCTTTAACAAAGAAAAAAGTCACAACAGAAGAGTACTATTGTACTACTTAGTCCCTCCACCCAGAGGGGTATTTATTTGTTTGCAAATTACAATTCTCTCCTGCCCCACTTTTTATGTCTGAATTATATCTATTATTTGGGATATATTTCAAATGTAATGCTTGTGTCCAAAAAAACCTATTTCTACTCAAAATTTTACATACTAAATATGACTAGCATAGCAAAAATCGTTGTCTAATTTTCAAGTGAATCTATATAATTGGAGGATATTGATGGTTTAGGTCAAACATGTCAGCTTAATTGGCCTATAAGTTTTAGGTCTTTACTCGTAACGGACGGTTCCAGTTGAATGGAATATGCCTATTTTGACAGTATTACTGTAACCTTAAAAAAAAATAAACAAACTGTGTTTGGGGATTGCTGATCCTCTTGTTAGCTTTTGGTAAGATGTTTCATGTGAGTAACGTTACCTTAACAGAATTTGTCCCCAAGACACCAAACAAATATTGAGGTTGTGTCTAACATAAACTCAGCTATTATTCTATACATATTACGAAAAAATAAATAAATTGAGGTTGTGGCTACCAAAAATTCAGATATTGTTCTATACATATTGCCAAAAAAACCATCCTTGGTTTTATAGAAATCTGTAAGCAACCCAATGTATAAACTATCTTAATTCTTTTCTGTTGGGTACAGTAGAAAACTGAAAACCCAAAAGAAAAAAAATAAAATTCCGAGACCCCATGAATGTGAATATTCTAAACTATCTTTACCCATTTCCTATTAACTTACTTTCTTACTAAAAATTTATTCGGTACTCCTTTTTAATAATTTTTTTTTTACAACTTAGTAATTTATAAAAAAATTGTAATTTTTGTCTGAAACTTCTCGTAGAGATTTGTAATTTTTATTCGTGACTTTGAGTTCAGAAAATTTATAAAATTTTATATGTTATACATTTTGAATTGTGTTAAAAAGTCAATGAAAAAGAACGAGTGTGATGTAGAGAAGGAGAAAATATAACAGAGTTTACCAAAATATATATATATATATATATATATATATATATATATATATATATATATATATATATATATATATATATAACAGAAAGAAAAAAGTTGCGAATTTGTCAAAAAAAAAAAGTTATATTTATTTGTCACAAACTTAAATGAAAAATTATAAGGTTATTATTAAAAATTACTATTCGAAAAGTTAAAAACTCAAAACATTACAAGATTTTCATAAAGTTAAAGAAAATAATATCATACAATCTTTTTAAGGGGGAGTACATAAGTGAACCTCAAAAATTTTAATATGATTTTCTACTAGACCCCACGTGTGAAAGTTCTAAACTATCAACATCAATCAGCTTGAATGCAATATAGTAAAGTTTTGGAAGTCAAAAAGACATGAAAGTAACATTACTCTTTCAACTTGAGCTAGGTTAACTATATATAATAATATCCGTCATTGTAATTGTAATCTCTACTTCCTGCGTTCCTACTTAACACTAAGGCGGAAGATATTTTTTAGGATTTTCCATAAATTAGTGAAGGTGGTAATCTTATTTACTTACGTTTGATGCGAGATTTCTATAAAAAAAATTCAGGAATATAAATTTTTCTAGATTTTATTTTGTGTATAAATTTTTTTGAAAATATCATGGTATTCTTAAATTTTCATGACAAAGAAAAATTTAACACAATCAAATATAACATCAAGAAAAGTAATCCAACATTTATGGAAATATTTTAGCCTATCAAACAATTTTTTGGTAATATTTCTGAAAATTCATTTTCCCACCATATTTCTAGAAATCATGATTCTCGGGTAAAAAAATTATTCTCCTTTTTGATTTACATTTTTATTTTTCTCCACTAAAAAATTTAAAATCACCTCGCACGAATTAACTTACTATTTGGAAATATATTATTCAAAAAATAATAGCTTTTTTTCAATTTTTTAATAAAATACCTTTTTAAAAAAAATAAACTAATATGAACCTGCCATAAGTTGTTTCATGCATGCCTGGACTGTTAGATATTGTTTTGAGTTCAAAAGTAAAATTAAAATAAGTTTAGAAAACAGAATAGGTACATAAATACAAAGATGACGAATGGTTTAGAACGAATGAGATGGAAAATAGTCTTGATTAAAGTGGAGACATTGACGAAAAAGTCCCCTAAAAAGAGTTGTCACTTATGTGTCTATTATTTAATGCTTCAAGAGCAATTGGTTTGAAGTGTGAATGTTCAATCACATGTGGCAATAATCTAATCTTAAGGAACCATCAATGGGTACCCTCTTACCGTATGGAATGGGAGGTTTTTCTCCCCCTTATTAATTATTGGTTGTGATTATGTGAAAGTTCGAGGGGGCAGACTCCATCAGTAGAAACAACTAACATATTTATTAGACTTGCAATTTCGATGCGGGGTAGGGATCCATTTAATGCAAAAAAATCTGAACTTATTGTGAAAGTATTGAGCATAGTCGAACATGATATATAGTAGAAAAACTAAATCAGTGCTCTGATATTAGTAAAATAAAATTTAGACAATAAATCACAATACTCTATATTATGCAAGAATCCCTCCACATTAATGGAATTCGTTGGGGAACGACTAAAGTCCCTTTAATCGGGTTAGCTAACTTTATTATGAGTGGAAAGTAGCACAAATTCCATTTGCTTGAAAAGGAACAATACTTTGTCCTGAAAAAAAAAAAAAAAAAAAAAAAAAAATACTTCATACTTCTATATGTAGGCTATTTGACCATTTTGCCCCTGATTCGAATCTATCTATCAATCTGCCACTCTTTAATCGACTACTTTGCATGTTTAATCGACTAAATGGTTGTTGAGAGAATTAATCGACTAAATCTCCCTACTTAATCGATTAAAATCATACTGACTTAATTTTTTTTTTGTCAAATATGGAGATTTAGTCGACTAAATCTCCCAACAGCCATTTTTTGTCTGTTTTGGTCATTTAGTCGATTAAAAATTTAAGGTAGTCGATTAAAGAAGGGCAGATTGATAAATAGTTTCGAATCAGGGGCAAAATGATTATTAATTAATTAATGAGGGGCAAAAGGGTGAAAAAGCCTCTATATGTACCATCAAACCATGACGGGCTGCTTGTTCAATGAGTTGGAATAAACTTGTACAGCATACCCCAGAGAATATTGGTTTTTTTCAAGGGAAAATATTTGTGCAGTTGCTATAGAAATTTTAATCTGCCACACACTTTGTATTCTTCGAATTACATAACAAATTTTTTGAGAGGAACTATTGCAGGGTATCCACTCTTTTTTTTTGTAAGACCCATTTCTTTTTTCGGAAATCATGCTCTCTTGTGACAAGAGCAAATTTTTTTCCTACACAATTAGTTTTCCATGCCAATTAATTTTATTTATTTTTTTAATATAAAATACGAGACTCACATTTAATTTGTCTCTACTTTTTTTTTCTCATGCTGTCCTACAAGATAAGAAAACATGAACTTTTGTGAAAGGGGCAAAAACAACACTTTTTAGCAGCAACAAAGTTAAACCCTTCTTTTGACCCTTTTTTTCTATGTGTCTATATAAACCCCAGTATTCATGTGGACTCGAATGTACCCTTGCTGAAAGACCAAGGTGTGTTGAGGCTAACATGTTTAAAATTGGACTGCATTTCTTGTTGAAGGTTTGGGCCACATGCATGTAATATATAATCTTCAGTTGTCTTCATGCTATGATTTAGGCGATTTGACATTGGAGTACTATATAATTCATGTAGAAACAGATACTAATCTTAGATCAAGTGGCAGAGTGTTCATAGAAAAAGTAAAATAGTTGGACGGTGTGTTACATTTTTCTCATTTTCTGTAGTGATTGTTTCATTAAACATGACTTATGTGCATGATAAACAACCCCAAAAATAAAAGAACTATTTAAAATGTTACAATTGTAAAATAAGAGAAGGCATTCTAGCTGCCCTAGTGGAAGAAAGATTGAAATTGCCCTTTGAATTTGTAGAAAAAAGATGAATACGACACTATATATTAATTACGGAGGAAATTATTGCTGTTTGTGAGGCTTATAACTAGGAATTGTTGGGAGATATTGTTGCAATCATGGAAAGTATACTAGTCGTACAAGTAATAAAATGACAAATAAAGAATCGTTCTCATGAGAATTGATCTATCAAGCGCTAATTTTTCTATCTATCAAAGTTGGATCGACCGAAAGGGTTTTTCTTGAGAATGATTAAATTGCAAAAACTAATTCTAAAACTAACAATCAACTAACAAGAACAAGATTCAAGAACACAAATAGAAATTCGGAGTAAAATCAAATAT